TAGGATCAGCGACATGCTCACGGTCACAAGCTCATGGTCCCGTTGTAGTTTGGGTTCCCCACACACACACACACACACACACACGCACACACACACACAGAGACACACACACACACTCTCACTCACCCACCCACCCACCCACCCACCCACTCACTCACTCACGGACACACACACACATATGTATATATATATATATATATATGTGTCTGCCAAGAGGAATGCTGCTGCTGGTCAGGACTGCATGTGCCAACCCTGGGTCAGTTTTCCTGCGCGACTGAAAACCCCTGGAGTGACCGCTGCCCAAATTCAACATGACGGGTAAAGGAATCAGCATTGGCTCAAAGTGCAGGTAGACCGACGAGTCGTCACTGTTATGCCGGCATCTCAGTGTACGCCACATCACCAGCGGTGTTATCATGGCAGAGCCGCTGGAATCGAAGCTCGGTGTTGCTTTATAGAGGAGGCGTTAGCCTTAGTGATTGTGCCAAGAGCAGCAGAAACGCGGATGATTATGCTAGCAAGCGTGTTTGTTCCTGGGTCGATTAGGAGGTGAGGGCTGCCGATAGTTCTGGCCCAACTGCGCATGACATAGGTTGGGTCTGTGCACCGACACAATCCCCGATAAGTTTCTTGAAGCGAATTCTGCTGCAAATTCCTGCGCAAGGGAGATTGAGCTTTCTGCATTGCGCGGCCTCCGGCCGTCTGGGAACAGCAACACTTGACATGAGGTGCACTGACATCGCTGGATTCACGAGCATCACTGAGCTCTTGGTGCTGCAGCTCGCTCAACGACAGATGAAATGATTGGATAGTGCAAAGAGTGGTTTGTGCCCATTTCTGAGGCGGGACCTCTACTTCATACTCACTCGCTACTTCTCAGTCCCAGCCTCGGCATCCGACTGCCATTGAGCGCTGGGACCCGCGCATGGCAGGTGATGATGAGCGTGGTAGAGATCTACCAAGGTCACAATCATCGCTTCGTGTCGCTCAGGCTTCTGACAATGCGTCAGCTTGCGTCAGCTGCCAGGAGTCGTCTCCGAGATTCTAGGGGACGGGCTTATCGTCTTGTGGAACGCGCCCGACCATGCTGCGGGCCTATCTGGCAAGCACGCACAAGCCGGCGGTTTGCGCGTGGGCTGGCGTGGTGTCGCATGGCCAACTTAGGTTGCCGATCACGCGACCGCCGCCTGTGCTGCAGCTCTGACACAACAGCAGGCCTGGTCCTGTTTCTGCGCTTCTTGTCCCTAGCCTCCCTAGACCGTGTATGTTGACTGCCATAGTTTAATCGCGAGCGCAAGAGCCACCTCGGGGACGGTCGCGCGGCGTCGGGGACCGCCCCTGATGCACCTGTGGGATACGCTCAACGACCCGCCACTCAGCCGAGGAAGTGAAGGGGCCTGTGTCCCTCAAAAATGAGTCCAAAAATCGACATCAAAGGCACGATCGTTGCGGGGGTAATGGGCGAGGGCAAAGCCATTTCATGGACATGGTCCTATGGAATCAGATTAAGAACCCCCCGGCCTCCGGCCTCGGCTTGCTAGAAATCCTGAGGCACTTTGCCACGTGAACGATGAACTGAAGGTTCTGGCCTGGAGCTTGGATACATGCCTTAAGCGCGATCATCCCAGAGGATCATATGGGCAAGATCAGTCCCGAGAGTAAGGAATTGACGCCTTTGTCCATCCGAATTGGCATACACACTGGGCTGTGGACCGAGAGACGTTTGCCACAGATTCGCGAAGATCCTGTGCCATGCAGACATGTCTGTCTGAAGTGCTGCTGATTCGCTGTAAAAGGTCATCACTCCTGGGAAACATTGGCAGTATGACGTAGCCTGGATGCAGAGTACCCTTGCAGAGCCATCATATGATTCCGTGCCTTTGAGGAAGATGAAGTATGGCTGCATGGTCCTCAGCCCTCCGCCTGAGCGCAGTATTTGCAGCCATTTGTGCACTGCTGTTCAGGTCTTGGTGAGACCAAGCAGCTCGCAATTCGATTGGAGGAGACCTGAATGAAGCTACTGTACTTGGCTGTTCATGAATCAGCATCCCTGGAGCGCACGAACCCTGATCCTTCCTTGTAGGAGCATTGTAAGTACTACGAGGTTGACGTCATCTGTCTGAACCCAAGAACTGGGATAACGCAGATGGTCTTTGAGAGTGCTTCAGTTTAGGATTTTGCACTCCATGCCACACGAAGTCTTCGGTCTTCAAGGCTCTTCCGACACCAAAAACGCCATTCCCCCCGGCAAGTTCTTCATGCGCTGGTTGGGCAAGGTCAAGGTTGGATGTGTTGCGCCTTTTGATTCTGCACGTAATGCGAATGGCCTCGGGTCCTTTAGGTGCGAAGTGATGACGAAGAGATGGTTGGAGTTCATGAGGTAATCAGCAGCAGCCTCGGGCAGCCGCCACGAGCGGTGCATGGGGCAGACACGCACACATCCCACCTTGGAGGTCGCGAAAATTTGGAGGACAGGTTCAAGCTTGAATGCTCCATGCTGTTGATTGAAAGGTTTCGATACACCGCATGTGGTCAGTGGTGGTCATACCAAAACATGACTGAGATCCTGCAGATAATGCGAGACGTGCAGCTGACGACCAGGAGGAGTCGATCATCAGCCCAACAGCATCTGTGAGGCACAGTGCCGAAAGAGCAGACACACATCAGCAAGAATTTCCGAGCAGCGGACATTGGGCCATTTAGGGTGAAGCCACTGTGGTCAGTGAAGTGCAGTGCAGTAGCGTAAAGATGTCAACCGTCTCCAGGGGCGATGAGGAAGCGTCCGTGGAACGATGTCGCACCAGCCTTACTCCACCGATGTCACAGATTGCATTACTTGGTTGGTTTTCGCGCGAAGTCGAAAAGCAAAAACCCCTGATAAATGAACCTCAGCGTATCTCTGCCAACTTCTGCGCTGACCGAGTTTCGTATCCATCTCTTTGCTCTGGGGAGAGTGCCTCACCAACCTCGCCGCAGCCTCGATGCAGCTCCCATGCTCGTACCGACTCGTAGCCATGCTCTCAGATCCTGGGCATTTTGGGGTTATTAGGCCTGGCCTTTCAATACAGCGGCTTCCGTCTATTCGTCCTGAACGCAGGGATCCACAAAGGCCCGGTCAGGGAGTTGCTGGTCGGAGATATACAGATGTCCTGTCTGAAGGCGGCAGGCAATGAAGCGTTGGCTGCGCTATTTGAATGCGATGGCCCACGAGGAGGCCCAAGTGTGGAGACTTCTGAACTCGCCTGAACACATCCGAAGAGAAAAATCCCTAATCCCATCTAATCCCCTACATGATGTCACCGGACGCGGCTTTGAAGGAGCAAGCCGTCGGCTTCCTCAGTCTTCGTGCTTTGGGGTGAATGCGTGCATTTTGTGTTCACACTTTGCTTTGATCTTGTCTTGTTGTCGCCGGGCAAGGCAACCATCAAGTCAGCAGCGCTTTCTCATGACACATTTCCATGGCACAGCACCGGTCGTCCGCACTCGCATCAGCCCATCATCAGATGAAGGAGGCCCAAGGCCTTACTGTCGCAGTGCGCAGCCGCCATTGAAAAACCGGCATTGCCATGGGTGGTCCTTGGCAGTGCTTGTAAGCAGCACCTTGGAGCAGAAGAAGAAGATGCGCCTGGCTTGTCGCGTGTGCTGGAGTATTCTTGTCTGAATGAAGCTGGCCGTCGATGTAAGCGAGCCCAAAATCATTGGAATATCAGGGCCCACCAAAGCTGGTAAGACGACGTTGGCGAGCGGAATCGCCCGCGAGATTTGCGGGACCGACAAAAAGCTCCCGCCGCGATTCGGCCGAGATCGCGTAGAACGCTTTCTGGGTGGCAGAGGCTTTGCTTGCCGAAGGGTCCTCTTGTTCAGACATCTTTCCCACTAAAGTGCCCCCATGGCAAGCCTTGTCTGCGAAGTCTCCGAGAAACGGGAGTTGATACTTGAGACTTCCAAACAGCAGTTGCGCACTGGCGCATTCCTAGTTGAGGGTAACGACCTGTTGGTTGGTTTCTGCTCGTGGCGCAGCCCTCGTTGCGATTAGGCATACATGCACGACTAACTCAATACTAAAATCAATACTGTTCGCAGGAGCTTTCCGGAGGTTTATGCCGACAGAAGTGAAGTGAAAATTTCGCCAGATAGCCTTAGCGATAAGGCTCCGACGAGGGCTCCTAACTGGTCAGAGGGCGTGGTCCGCCCCTCGCTCGGGGTATTGTCGCACGCACGGGGTCTTTGCTGGCTCTGAGAGTGCAATGGCATGTAGCTGGCGAGACTTGTTGACCTGCAAATGAGTAAACTTTCTCTGTAACCTGGAGTGCCTGCAGGCTCCTGCATCAGCGTTGTTGGCCAAGACTCTTACTTCAAAGGGGGAGAGCGTAACTGGGAGCTTCCGGACGCCATTGATCACTCTTGGGTTTTGCAAACTCTCCGAGATGAGCGCAGCGACCGTTTGTCAGAGCTCATCATCTTCGAAGGCTTCAAAGCCTATTGGGACGAAGAAGTTGTCAGGGAATTGGATCTCATCTTGTGGATCCGCGTGAACGAGGAGACTTCGAAAAAGCGACGAATGAGGAACAAATCTGTCACGCATGAGGTGTGGAATGACATGTGGCACCACCATGGCAATTATTACAAGCACTGGGTAAAACTATTGGGGAAGCATGTAATTGGTGATCACGATGCAGGGTGTGCCGCGCCAGCAGAGGAGGAGAAATGCGTGACTTTGGACGGAGAGCAACCTGCCGAAACAGTGCTGAAGCAGGCGCTCGATGTCCTGTTGAAGCGCGGCATTTTGAGAGAAGAGACCGACGAGACCGACTCGACTGAGCCCACTATGCGCACGATACGGACGGGTGCATCCAGGTCCAGAAGCCGGTCACGAGGCCACCTGGTCGTGCAGCATATCTGGGCAGTCTGTGTTGTTACAATGTTCCTGCACTTGCTGCTCCACATGCCTTTAGATTAGAACGAGTCGAGGATGTGCGAGGGTTGTGATCTTGAGTCGCAGGGCGCCAGCCAAGTGCAAGCTCGCCGCTGCTGGACGCACACGAGCGCTGCGCTAACCCCACCTGCTGGTTTCGAGCTTCCCAGGAAACAGGCGGCGGCGGCGGCTATTGCTGCAGGAAATGCCACTGGCGCCATGCAGCCTGGTGGCAGAACTGTGGCTCTCGTAGCAGGGACGATCGTGTCGATCTCGCAGCCCAATCCCATCACGCACGTTGTGCGTGGGTATGCGTTATCTGTTGGCAGGCAACTGGCTTCAAATCTGGGAAGGCGCACAACAAGGCCCGGACATTTCTCATCAACAATTAATCAATGTCTATCTTCAACAGTGCCCAAAAAACTGTGCTGCACCTGCCTTTTCACGTGAGACTCCCCTTGACCGCTTGATGCGGCGGCAGAAGCACAGGAGTGTGCGAAGATCGAAGCGTCTTCAACTGCACCGGTGGCGGCAGCAGTGGCTCCAGCTGAGGACTATGTCAGCCAGGAGGCAGCAGCCGAGCCTCGTCTGGCATCTGGACAACCATACTAAGCCATACTATAACTACAAATGTCGTTTACCATAGTTTTCATGCTTGACCCCGACATGCTTGTCATTGTGCTGATGAAAACGAGTCACGGCGCATCGCAACAAACACCGTCACGTGACAGCCTGAATAACCCTTGGATGCCCTATACGCAGAACAGAGTATCTTCCAGCCATCCGCGCCAGAGTCTCCAACTCCATTTCACAGTTCGCACACGCGACGCATCTATCAGTTAAACGCGTACTTGGAGCTTGTACTTAAAATTCAGCAGGAACTAGTGCCAAACAGGGAACAAGATGGAACATGATGATGGATGATGTTGGCGTGAATGCCTTGGTCTCAGCTGCATGACAACCCCTGGAAGTTTGGAGAAGTCCTTCCCGCCTCGAATGTTTTTGCAGGACCAGGGAGGCGAAGTGTGTTTAATCCTTGTTATGAACGGGCAGCATCTCTCTCCCGTTGCGCATGTCTGTGCCTTATGGAAGCCGGCTTGAAGGGTCTGAGAGCATGCAACCCCATGCGGAAGCCGGTAGCAGTCCGAAAGACAAGACCCCTTCCACCCGTGAAACTGCTCAAATATCACTGATTGCTTCGGCAGGCTCGCATCATGGACGCCACAGCCGAGGATGTCGCTCTATCGCAGCAGGCAGTGCATCACAGCAATGTCCTGAGACACTCACGCCGCCAAACCGGAGGCCATGCCGACCGAAAATCACACATCAGTGGCCACAGGCGGGGACACGGCAAAACTCGGCAAGTCTGCGACATTATCACATGTCGTACTGAGTCACGGAACACTGATGAACACTGCAGACCTTGTTCGCGCAGCTTCTTGACAGGTGTGTCGGTCCCGGTGGCTGATGGCATGACCGGCATCAGCATCCACTTCCAGCGGAAGTTGTGCTGCGCCAACCCCAACTGTCCCTTCCTCGCCAGCTCAGACCCGCTGCAGGGCGGCTACTGCTGCAGCAAGTGCTACTGGCGAGCTCTGACTCCGAGAAGCTCTAAAGGGGCCAAACGCCACAATGCAGGCTGTGCCAAAGCTTATCCAGAGACTGCCGGCACAGCCCGGGCACCTCCGGATCCGCCTGAAGAAGCAAAACTCTACGGCCCATCGCCTGGAGGAGACGAGTCAGTTGGGATCGCAGACACTGCTGCAAGCTCTGTTACCCAAGCAACGGACCCGACGTCCTGAGCCGCATCGACGAGATGTTCACGGCGTTCACGGCCGGGTCTCTGGGCTTAGAAATACCCTAGACATCCCTAGACAATGAAGCCAGAGTCCAGCTCGCGAGCTGTGTTTTTTCTCGATGCCATGCCCCTAACCCTATCGAGCCCCAAACCCAGGCACCCAAGCCATCAGAATTAGCTTTGAGCCGCTACATGAGAGGCTTACGTCGTCCAGTGAATGTCCGCTAGTGCATTCTCGTCGGCGGGAGGACTTCCGAATGCACAGCTGGTACGGTTCACAGATTGATCCGCCAACCTGCCGGCCGTTGGAAAAAGCTCCTGCAGCAGACACCGTAGAGGTGATCGTGCACTCTGCGCTGCGACTTTGACATGAGCTTTGCACTGTTTCAGTTTTGGTTTGCATTTCATCTCAGGCCGGTGTTGCTGGCCCTGCAGTCGATGATGCGCTGGCTTCGGAAAGATCAGCAGGTCAGTTAGTGTAAAGTCCTCAGCCGGCTGCAGCGTTCGTTGGTACCAAAGCTACAACTCTGTAGATTGTGATACTGTCCCAGGGAGATGGTCGCGAGAGGACGGATCAGGGACAGGGACGTCAGACGCTCAGCGCCATCCAAGCAAAGCATGTTCTGATGGAGCCGATGCTCACCTCCTTAACAGACCAGGTCGTGACTCCGCAGCAGCGGCGACACGTAGGAGAAGCGCACGCAGGGGGTATGCAGATTGACCATGGGATGCAACAACTCATGATGACTTGCTTGTAACTGTATAATTTATAGCGCAGGGAGAACAGTTGTCTGAAGTTCCGGTGAAAGCTCAACCCCCCACAGCGCAAGGATCCGTTTGCGCGTGCGAGCCGAGAGATTGAGATCGTCGTCGAATCGTCGTTACAGTTTTACGTACGATCGGCCACAGCAACGACAAAGATCCTAAACTTCGTTGTTCATGGTCATTAACATGGACATCGTCGAACCAACTACCGTCATCATCACCAAATGGCTCTGCATAAGTGCTACATGTAGGAGCTAGGAGACCACTGATCTGAAAGTTTTGGGCATGCACTTGCCTTAAGTTCTGTTCGCTTGGACTGCATGCACATTGCTGAAACCGTGCAACCTTCCTCTCGAGTGGGCGCCCTTGAGCTTTAGACTTTCTGCGCCGCAAGGCCGAAAAGACATGTCGTGATTCTGCGTGTGATTTTGCCGCATTCGCTTAGTTGGCACCGGAGCCGGTTTCGCTGCGATGCCTCTGGTCCCCACCTTCGATATGGCGGCGGCAGACCCCGACGACTTCGGTTTGGACGAGGAGCTGCCCAGCCTGGAGGACCCAGGACAATGCAGCGCCCGAGCCAGGACCTAGCCCGCCACCAGCCCTCCAAAAGTTGACTAGATGCGTCGATTGCGACGGCTGCCTGATCCTCCCCGACTACCTGGGGCGGCCCCGCTGCAGGACGTGCGGCAGCTTGGTGCAGTACAGACTGGACAGGCCGGCACGAGACCCGCCCAGCATGGGCAAGGACAGTGGCACTATGTTCCGAATGAGCTGGTGTCTCCGGCCGCCCCGGCACCTCAGCCGCAGCCTGGCAGCCCTGCTGCGAACAATGATGGGACGACGGCACCTCGGCGGAGACGAAGGAATCGACGACCCCGTGGCGGACCACCTTCTGGAGATGGTGCTTCGGACCGCTCGGAGCAAGCCGAGTCAGAGACCTTGACCTACGACCCGACCGTGTCGGCTCGAGAGTCCTCGGCTACTGCCCGGCGTGCCCGACAACACGACCTTACGGAGACTGACCGCCAGGAGTACGACTTCCCCGTCCCGCTGAAGCCGCCGTTCCTCGACGAGCCCACGAACCCACTCTGCGCAACAACCGCCAAGAGGAGCTTCCCACCGAGGACCTCGAGCATCCTCAGCATGTGTTGCTGGGGTATATGCGAGCAGCCCTTTCTCCCAAGAAAGGGGACGGTGCAAACACGCCATCGTGGAACTCCAGGATGGGACCAAAAAAGCATGTCCGGTGGCTTGGGGGCGCTCCACCTTCGCCACCCGTTTGGCGCTACGACTCTGCAGACTTGCGCACGTTCTCCAAATGGGCGAGAAAGGTGCAGATTTGGTAAATGCAAATCAAAACGTATATGACTGCTCGCGAGGCTTCCCCGCTCCTCTACAACAGCCTGACGGGAGAAGCGGACGCCGAACTTGAACACGCACCGCTTGACAAGATAAACTCAGATGGTGGGTCCCTCAAAGCACCTATGGAACAAAAGGCTGTGTTTCTTGGCCGATTTCGAGCAGCTCAGCCGGTATCCTGCAGAAGGCCTCAGGACCTACTCGAACAGATATCGCCGCGTCGAACGATCGCTGGAGTCACTTGGGGGTCAACATCACTGCTACGTATGACTCCGAGGCCCGGGGCAATCGCCTCTTGGAGCGAGCTCAGCTCACACCGGCCGACCAGAGGTTGATCTTGGTGGGCGCCAGGTAAAGCCTGAACTTTGACGATGTCAGCGAGAGCATGGTTACAAGCCGGCCCCGCCCGTGGTCAACAAGGACGGGTCCCTGGTGAGCAAGCTCCACCACCCCGTCTAGTCGGAGGCCTCTTCAGCGACAGCCACGCTCTAGCAACCGCGCCGACCACAGACACCGCCGCCTCAGCTGAGATCGTCCGATCCGAAGCGGTCAAGACCATCGCCGACCTCAACGTCAAGCAGAGCTTGCGTCGCGCCCTTCTTCGAAAGACTCGCAACACTCGTGTTGCAGACCTGCAACCCGGCCAGTTACTGGAGATGGAGAAAACGTGGCATCAAGAAGCGCGGCGGCTGGGTTACAGCCAAGTTCCTGAGCTGGGACCCGAGCTCGCCAGGCAAGCTGGCCTGGGTGCGGTCAGGAACTTCGACCGCCTTGGTTGCCATCGAGCAGCTCCGTGCAGCCACCGGCTTCGAGGCCTGGGTTCCGACTGAGGAAGAGGTGCAGATGCTAAAGGACGCAGCCAAGAGCCTGGACCAGTCCATTTGGACAGACGAGACGGGGCCACCGCCGCCAAAGAGGCAGCTAGACGAGGACGAGGTGGACTTTGACACCGAGTCTTCGACGCCGCGACCCCAGAGATCGCTGCCGCTACGGCCGCCATGCCAGCGACACCCACAGCAGCGCCGCCGCTTCAACTACAACAAGGCGACCAGAGTCTGCAGATGAGCCAGCAGAACCAGACGGTGGTGATTCAGCCCCACGTCCCGCAGACCATCATCAACAATACGGCTCGTCTTGGTGATCCTGCCCCAGGAGCTCGCCGAGCCAATTCGGCACCACGAACTCCAAGAGCCGTCTCGGCACCGAGAACGCCAAGACTGCCGCAGAGGAGCCGATCACCAAAGCCACCGGCCAGAATCTTGGGCAGCCCGGCGGCACAAGGACATCAGGAACAACAAGCGTTACCACCGGGACCTTCAGAACCACCGGTTCCAAGCACGACTCTGGCACTAGATGGACCTCAGGAACAACAAGCGTTACCGCCAGGACCTTCAGACCCACCGGTTCCAGTTCCGCCGACGCCCTTGGAGATAGGCATGGAGTCGGCCCAAAATGAGTCAGCAGACTCCGCAGACATTCCTGGCCAAGAGGACGAACCTCCTGTACCACAAGCTCACCAGGAAGTGCCCGTGGAGTCCGCAGCCAACACGGAAGAAGACCCCGCACCTCCTGTACCACAAGCTCCTGTTCCACGGTCGATCTCGAGCGGCTTTGGGGCACCCACGACTCCAGTGACAAGCCAGCCGAGCTGGACGCACGAGCCCGTGGACAACCTACTCCCAGCCAAGCGGCCCTTCGACGCGCTGACCACCTCGTACTACGAGGGCGGGAACCTTCGCCACTGTGTGCCGGCGAGAACTTCGATAAGGGGTCTGGTCACAAGGAGGAGACCTACTACCAAGCATATCTCACCTCGGAGCACCGCAAGTTCGCAAGGACGATGTGAAGAAGACCCTCAAGGAGCCAACAGAGACAGACAGCAGCGACTCCGATTGGGATGATGACGCGCCAGGGAAGCACACCAAGAAGCCTTTGACAAGAGCTGAGGCCAAAGCCCTTGGACCGCGAGATCCCATGGAGGAAGATCCTGGATATGCCCGAGAAGGACATCGAAGCCTTCAAGGCGGCCACCATCAAGGAGGTGAAGAGCTGGGTGGAGTGGGAGTCCGTCCGACCTTTGTCCCACTCAGAAGCTGAGCTTAAGGACCGCGTTCTCTCGAAGCGCATCCTAGAAGCTGCTTTCGCGACAGCCGCGGCTTGGCTGAGCTGGTGCCCAAGTGCAGGGTGGTGGCGCTGGGGCACAAGGATCCAGACATTTTTCGTCTCAACAGAGAGTGCGCCACCACGAACCGGACTTCGGAACACATCCTCTTTTGCATCATGGTGGCAGGCCACAACAAGGAGTTCAATGACACAGGCCTTGCTTGGAAGGCTTGGAGTGGAGACGCCAGCACGGCGTTCCTTCAAGGCGACATCACCGCCTCGGAGCGCGACCAGTTTACCTGGTGTGCACCAATATCTACGGACTCAGCAACGCGCCGAGACTCTGGGCGTTGACGGTCATCGCCCGGCTCAAGGAGATTGGCTACCACCAGCACTCCTTCGATAAGATGGTGTTCTTGAAGTACCTGGACGGCCAGCTGGTCTCCATTATCATTGTCTACGTGGACGCGACTACGACATCTCAGAGGTCACCCAGGCCTTTCGATGGGGCATCCTCCAGGAATTCGCTCTGGAACAGACGGTGACTTTCAAGGGCAAGCAGCTCACTCTCCGAGCCAAGAACAACGGCCGCGTCTACCTGCATGTCTGCCAGAAGGAGTTTATCGACGGCATGGACCCCGGTAAGGTACCTCGAGGAAGCGACCTGCAAAAGCTCCTCACTCCGGACCAGAAGGCCGAGTTCCGAAGCATCGCAGGATGCCTCCAGTGGATCAGTGGCCAGTGCAGGCCAGAACTGGCAGCAGCAAACAGCCTCGCAAACCACGGGAACCAGACCACCCTCGGCGACCTCCGCGACTTGTACCAGGCGGTGGACTTCGCCCGCGAAACTAGAGACGACGGCTTCGTGATCCCCGACGTGCCGATCAGCAAGGCCACGGTGATCCTCGCGTACTCGGACGCAAGCTGGGCAAATGCTGAGCAGAGCCGCTCCCAGTGCGGGGTGTTGATCGTTTTGTGCTCCACAGCCGTTCTTCAGAAGACCGTACCCGCCATGGTCGTGGACTGGAAGTCTTGCAGGTCACAGAGAGTGTGCCGATCCACCTTGGCAGCCGAAAGCTGCGCCGCGGACGAGGCATGCGACCGCAGTGCCTACATCAGCATGTTCTTGGGCGAGATCCTCTACGACGAAGCGCCAGCACACCGCGTCGGAGCTCAACTACACAACCTCGCTGCCACGGACGCCAAGAGCTTGTACGACGTAGTGGTCAGCGACTCTCCCAATTTGAGTGATAAGCGCTCACTTGTTAATATTCGAGCCATCCAAGAGGTAGTCTCAGGAGAGAGGTTCCACTGGATTCCCACCACTCTCATGTGGGCCGATGCTTTGACAAAGCAATCGGTGGAGCTCCAATGTACAATGCACGAGTGGCTGCAGAACCCGACTGCCACGCTTAAGAAGTAGCAGCAAGCAGCGTATGTGCAATCCAACAAGAAAACTATACTAGTGAAAGTTTTGGGCATGCACTTGCCTTAAGTTCTGTTCGCTTGGATTGCATGCACATTGCTGAAACGCAACCTTCCTCTCGAGTGGGCGCCCTTGAGCTTTAGACTTTCTGCCCGCAAGGCTGAAAAGACATGTCGTGATTCTGCGTGTGCTTTTGCCGCATTCGCTTAGATGATCAACATCACGTCGTTGTTGCTATGATGATGCTCATTTGATTTATGATTGCCATCATCATCTTCACAATTTTCATCCTCATCGCCATGAAACTGGGTAGAACCGGGAAAATCGTCATCGTGCCTATCGCCGTTGTCGCCGACGAAAGGTTCATCTATGAGCATCTAATCGGATCATCACCATCGTAGTCGGCTGGTGTGTCATGAACACCAGTATGACATTGCTAGGCATGTTCACATCAGAGAGTCCAGGACATGTGCATGAGCATGGCCATCGTTGCAAGCATCTTGACTGAGTCTTGACTGCTGCCACCGGCAGCTTTTGTAGCACCATTGTGTCACCTTCCCGATCATCAACAGCAGCACCTCCCCTCATCCTCGTTATCGTCATCATCATCACCACCTTCTTCAGCTTCAGATTCATCTTCATCTTCGTCACATCGTCCTCCTCAAAATCTTATGACTTACCACTTTCATCGAGCATTTCGTGGAGCATGCTAGACATGCTCCGTGTTCGTTCACCGCGGACCGTTGCTCAATTAATGTTTTTGCTGCTTGCCGCTGTTGTTGTTGCTGCTGTTGTTGTTGTGGTGGTGGTGATGGTGGTGGACGTGTTCCTTGTGTTGCTCTGTAGGGCTTTGTGCCGGTGTTTGGGAACCATATCTCCTTTGATACGTGCAGGTCAAGACAAGCGAATGTGTTAAGAGCCAAGAAGAGTCAAGAAGGGTTCATGGTCAAAAGTCCAGGATGTAACGGTTTGTGCCTACACTGTAGAGTTCAGGGGTTTCGGCTGACAGAAAGAGAGCGAAACGCTTTCCCGACTGACCATCAAGATGCATCCATCCAGGACTCTACGAAAGCGCGTTGAAGGTGGCCTTGCTCTGCAAAACCAGCTCTGTCACGTTTGCAACTTTACGCGGAGTAGGATTGCAGTGACTAGTGTTCTCAGAATAGCACCCCCAAATACACACTCGCCAATAGTCTAAAGGAGGCCTCTCAAAGCTCACAACACCCTTCAACATTAACCGAACCCTTCTTCGCATCTGCCCAAGTGTTCCTACCTGCCTGCAGACAGGCACAGGTCAGGTAGACCCACACACGCACGAACACGCACACAGAGTGTTTTGTTATCTTCTCTCCCTCTCCCTCTCTGCATCTGTTTCCCTCTCCCTGTCTCTCTGTCTCTCCCTCTTCTGATGAACGTTTATGCATGTGTCGAGATAGCAAACCGGCGAACGGCAGGTGGGCGTGCAAGTAAGCAGGCGGTGAGGCAGAATTGATAGAGATATGGGACAAACGGTTGACAAGTAGACAGAGGAGCGATGAGAAGCATGTACGAACATACGCAGACGCAAGCACTGAGACAGATGGAGAGGTAAATCGATGGGTGTTTCGTACATATGCAGCTCTGCGCATGAGCATGCACCGGCAAATTCAGCAACTGCATCAATTTGATGGTGCAGGCCTTCTTCAGCGGCAAGTATTCCGAGTGCATTGCTTCGGTCTGGATCCAAGAACAGGTTTTGTGTCTTTCTCATGACCGCTGGTGTAAACGGCGCATAACGGTGCCATGTGCGGCAGAAAACTAGGGAGTTATTGGAGGAGCTTGGAAGTTATTGGTTGTCTGGAGGAAGCCTTCTTTACCATCGGACAGTGCCGACACACTCATGCAGAGAAGTGTGTGGAGACTGTGAGTTTTGTCCAAGGCACAGTTGCTCCTGGATGAGAAGGACGACGTCCCAGCCAAAAGGCTCGCAGAGGCTGCAGGCACCGAAACGGTCGTCAAACTGCCATGCAAACCCATTTTAGTTTATTTTTGCGGGCCCTTACCGCCCTAGCAGCGACTTGTCCACGGAGGACGACTGAAAGCCCAAGGAACGGATCCTCGGAGGCCGAATCTGACTGCCCTGTAGAGGCTTGTCATGTAGTAACGTAGTAATGAATTTTCATTGATGAAGAGCAAAGGCCGGGATCACAGAAGAGATGTATGTGACAAGCCAGGGAGCCTTTCCATGCTGCCATTGACAACTGTGTTTCCCGGCGTCCGGTTCGATGACACAATCAGAGTAAGCAGCTCCCTGCGAGCACGCTCTGTTCATGGGGAGAGCATGCCAACTTGTAAACAACGGATCATTTGTTTTTAAGAGTGCTTGCGTCCCTGGTCAACATGTCAGGCGTAGCCGATCCCCAAAACTCACCTCTCCTCACCCTCGTTGATTTCTCATGCCCCTCTCGTATGCCCTGGTCCAAAGTTATCAGAACATTCCTGCTTCCTTTCTCGATAGAAGAACGCATCGGATTCCAATGATGCAAAAGGCCACAACGACGAGACCTCCTGAAAATAGAGCGCTGCAAGCCTGCAACATCCTCCCACAGCTCATCCCCCACCACAGTCGAATGCGAAGTTCGGCTGGGGCTGAAGCATCAAGCTTGTTCTGCACAAAAGCCAACCCATACTGCCATAGACTCGTAACGTGACTTTGGAGACTCCGTTTTTGGAGCCTTCCTAAACCCTTTGCACTTCAGCACTCTGCCAGGTGTTACCTTTAATGGGCATGCTTGGACATGAACAGAACTGAATTGCAAAATGCACGCATACGTGTGATATTGCTGAGACACAGCGCAGAATTCGCACGCACATTGACGAACAAGTTTTAAGCTTGTCTTTTCAATCTGAGCACCCGAGGCATGTCCATTTGAGACTGTGAGCACAATGCCGCACGGTGCATTGCATTTGCGGAGGTTGATGTCAAGAATGCAAGCCTACTCTTGCAGCCTCCACGTTCCGGGCGACACTGATTCATGTTGCTTCAAGAGCGTATTCGCTAAATCTGCTCAAGCTTGAATGCGCAACTGAAGTTCGAGTGCTGCTCGAGATTTGATCTTCTGCTCGGCTTTGCTCTGCTTCGGCCCTGCATGGCCATGTTTAGCGCTGCACAATGCAGCTATGTGGCTGCGACCCTTCACACTGAAGCGCGCAAGCGGGCCCATCATATGAGCGACAGAGCGTAGTCCGTGTGAATGCGCGCGCTTTGTCACGTGACGGGTCGGGCGGCTTTGCTTCGATGCCTGTAGGATATGCCAAGGGCCATCAAGTGCCAATACCTCTGCGTGGTACCAGCCTGAGCCGTGCAAGGACAAAAAGGACCAAACCGTGGTTTTCCAGAATTGTGGGAGACGGGCAGCTAATGAGCTAATGAAGCTATGCGGCACAACCGGGAACCGTGCAGACCCGCCGGTCAGATGCATCGGCAGCTTCAGACTTCCTGTTGGCCAGGAGACCAGGCTGCCAGGAGAGGCGAGGCATACCCTGCCTGTGTTATGCGACCCAGGGCTGGCTTTCATCTGCGGAAGCATGGAGCTCTTGCCATGTCCTCGTTGCGGATTGGGCTCAAGCCCGCGTTGTCTGGAGATTCAACGATGCGCACACCTCGGATGAAATTATGGCCATGGATTTGCTTCGCCCTGGGCACACAAAGCACCTCGGCTGCAGTTCGAGCTGAGGCATGCTCAAGGCACCTGGCACATTTCTGGGTCGCCCACTTTCCGAGCATAGAATTCTTGCAAGCATCGTGTACGATACGAATCTTTGCAGATGCTGTCGATTGGAGTTCTTCAGTTCGCGGTCCCTGAGAAGCCAAGGTACCGCCGCCTCGCGTGAGCTCCTCAGATCCAGCTTGGAAGCTCGCCGCCGTAAGAGATCAAACGAGGTCTGGTACTTGATGTTCAAGACTTCTTCAGAAGACAGTACGAGGCACAGGCTTCCTGGCTGCCCGGGAGGGATTGGCCTTCGCAAGACATGTGAGCGACAGCCAAAGATCCCCTTTCCGAACTGACACAAAAAGAAGATCCTGACAAGCTGGTGTCTCAAGTGGCTGCTGCTGTTTGGATAGCAGTTGATTCCCTGTGACATCTCTAGCAGCAGATTGGTTCATGTTCCATCAAATCAACGCCCAAGCCCACCAGGACTACTTGCAATTGAACAATGACAGACAAAGACGTCTAGACCTAGTCACCTAGATGAGTTTGCGCATGTTTGCGCTAGCATGCCTAATTGGAGGCTTGGACAATGCCCTTGCTTATTTGACTGGTATCGATCCCGTTGGGGCTGAGAACTGCCAGAAAGCTGCAGAAAGCAGTTCTCGCATGGGCAGGTTTGGAAGCCCGGACCTGCATAGTAAATTGAACTGAACCCCCTGAGCTCAATGTTGAATTGACATGAATGCTACTGACTGCAACAGCAGCATCCCTCCTATGTTGGCATGCCAAGGTAAGGTAGGTATTTTGGGCGAGCAGGGTGGCGTGGCAAGTGGCATTTTCGTAAGTCTTTCAATGTTGCTCCAGCTTCGCTTGGCAATAATAGGAGAGAAGTGGAGCAAACTTCGGAATGCAGACTCCGTGCTCAAGCCCAGGCTCTTAACAGCTCCAGTCTCGATATGGTGTTGAGCGGCAAAACTAAGCAGGCGCGGCAAATCATTCGGCGTTCTCGCTTGGAATGCAGTTGCGAAGCCGGCCGCGTCGTTGTGCCAACTCCGGCTGCCAGGAGAAGCACGATTGCCATGCTGTAGTAGCAGGTGCGGAAGACAGGACGAGCTGGCACTTTGGCAGCAAGAACTGCAAGTGCCCGCCGGATCACGTTGTCGCCGCCTGGCCGCAAGGAGACGAACCACTCCAGGGTGCACGTGTTTTTTCAGGTTGCGCCTAGGGCCTAGGGTCTGGTGCACTCAAAGCTGTGACTCTGTCGACAAAGCCTCTGGTCCGAGGCTGGCAAGTCGTGGGAGTGCGGCGAAGCTCTGGGGCATCGTCACTTCTCGAGTAGGATGGCAATCTCAACCTGCAGCTGCTGCGTGACCAAACGAGACAGGTCTATAGCCTGTCCGGATGCACGGAGATATCAGACTGCATCCCAGGCGAGCCAACTAGCAAGTGCGAGGAAATGGTTGCAGGCGCGATGTGCTGCAGTTATGGCGGCTCTGTACCACAGCACGGGTTTTGCGAAAGTCTGTTCTCTGACAACATTCCGACATAGGCACTCGGCATCAGTGCTTCGGAATGCGAGAAAGTACTAGAAAGCATGAACCGGGGAGCAGCGCAGCAGGTGCCAAGACGCGAAATTCAGCATCCAAGTTCGCAGACAGGCTTGTGGGTGCCTTCAACGCCCCTGTTCGACGTGTTTGGATTTCCTCGATCGCTTGAAGCTCACAAATTCCAGGCCATGCAAGTGTGAGAATCCGGATGAGGTTCTCGATGGCCAGGCCGTTGCAATCCGCATGTTGTGCGACATAGCCAAAGTTCTGGTCTAGCGTGACTGACTCAACTCGCGCTGCCAGTTTACGGGGCCAACTAGCCTCAGCAGAGCGTTGGTTTCCGAAAGGCACACGAATGTTCGACGTACCTGGGGGAGCGATACTTTCCAAACACATTGCCTCCTCAGGCGCGTGGGGTCGAGTTGTGTTGGCATGTCACCTCATTTCTTGAAATCCTACTCTCACTCTATGGACATCACCGATGCACCTATTCTTGGGTCGAGTGCTCCTCCGTTGACATGAGCATGGCAGAGAAACAGATTTGGGCAGCGTCAGAACATGAAAACACTGAATTCTCTATTTGCCACTGTAGGACAAGTCGTCGTGAACATGGTATCAGAGTGATCTTGCAGTGCAGGAGTGCTCATGCCAACCGAACGTTATGGGCAGTCACAACTGCGGTGACATTGCTGCTGGTGCCCTTGAGGTGGACAAAGTAGCTCGTCTCAGTCACAACACATTGTACATCAAAACTAGGTGCTGCATTCAGCCGAGGACGGGCGAGCTCAGTGCGAGTGCCCTCAGGAGCAGTTCATCAATGGCGAGGATCAACAATGCAAAGACTTCTTTGGCGCGCGTTTCTTCCCGAAAAGGCGGCACGTGCGTTCTTGCAGCAACAGAACCACTTTTTAAGCTCTGCAGCCGCCGCAAAGAACAGGTTGAAGCCAGGCCTTTGCTCCTGCAGCGCTAACGCGCGGCGTCCAGATCGTCCAGGCAGCGGGTCTTATCGAGGCCCGGCATTGGCTTCAAAGAACCATCCCCTCTTTTCTGCATGTCATGACATTGGGAATGCCAAAAAGTCCAGAATTTTCTTGCGCGCGCTGTCTCAGGAGTTCACTTGGGCGTGGCTCCCGTTTTGGTTGCGTTGGCAGCACCGTTCGCCTGTTGAGAACTGCCGCCTTGCACAAAAGCCCAGAGTGTGGAAAGTGGGTGCACCAGTCATCACGGGCGAATCCTGGACCTAAGAGGTCTCTTCGTGTTCGTGTTGATGACGTGGTCGCTCCTGTTGTGTATCAGTTCAAGATAGATTGCCGATCTCAAGCCTCTCGGAAGAGAGGAAGTGCAAGAGTCAGAAGCTGAAGCTATCTGCTCCACCGCAAGCAGCACCCTCAACCCTAAGCTTCAAAACTCGCAGCCACTCTTAGGATGAGGCTCTGTTTGTAGTTTCGATGCCGCCCAAGCCTTCGAGAGCGCAGCCGCGGTTTCTCCGGCTGCAGTTGTTCTCCGAACTTCTGTTGAGCCTCCTCCCGGGATTGGACTCTCGCAGTGTGCCTGGTAGCTGCTGGCAGCGAGCCAATCCTGCATGTCTGCATATGCCTGCGCGGAAGGCAAAGTCTCTTGACTAATGGTTGAGAAACGGGTGATTTTGATTGTCAAAGCAGGAAGAAGCGACAGCGCGTCAAAGAGGAGGCTGTACACAGCCTGAATCTGTGTTGCACACGACAAGATTGGAAACTGCACAGGCCCTGGAAGCCACTGTCGTGGTTGGAACGTGATCCCAGATGCTTCTTGTTGCCGCAGGAAGAGCTGCAGCTGTGAACTGCGGTTGAGGTACGACGGTGGACTGCTGGGGTTCGGCTTGAAAGATGGAGTTTGGGTCCAAGCCAATTTCACGGGGCTTGCAGAGGAACACAGCTGATAGATGCCAGGACGAAGAGCATCATCTTTTCACAGCCAGTCTAGTTTCATTGAGGCTCAGACCTTTGGCTACGCGCCCCACATTGGCTGCATCAAAGCAGTGCACTGTAACAAGGCCGAGCTGGGGTTGCAGCTACCTTGCGAGCTCTTGTCGATCTCCTGGCATACTGTACCAGGAAGGCAAGCTTGCATCGGGTGCCACGGATAACGCCGTTGGGTGCACAGCGATTTGTTGTGATGAAAGGACTGCTTCGGCCAGCGTTGTAGAAGCCCCCCACGGCTCCCACGGGACGGGCACCACGTAGTGTACGAGGTCAAATCACCCATGCCCTCGAGGTCCGACTCTTCGATTTGGCCAAGAGGGTCGAGCTCGGAGAGCTTCAGGAACATCAGGACCTATGCCCAGAGCCGTGCAAGCACTCACGATGCTTGCCAGTGCAGCCGGAGCCTGCCCTCCGCTGTGAGGACTCGGTGTCGGCCTTGCAGTTTTGGAAAGGAACGCTGATCACAGCCAGCAGCGATGGGCAGGCGTGTTCTGTACTTTTCACCTTCGACTGCAATTGCGCACAAGCTTTCCGAATTGCCAGATGCACGAACCTGGTGGAAGGTTTGTATCTGGCGCGGTGGGGATTTCGAGCACGGCTGACTACCTTGATGCGGCAAGCAGTTCCGCCGGGAGAGCGTGCAAGATTTGGCAGCCAGGCTCCTCCTCAAGTTCCAAGGCCACAAGGCGGTGATTCGTCTTCAAGATCTGCTTGATAAGTCGTTTTGAAAACCACGCATGATGTGCAATAGTGAATTGCGAGTGCAGGCTGCAGTCACCAGCTTGGCAGCTAGCACCTGAGTTCTACCAGCCGTAGGAAACCAAATCTTTTGAGTTGCCCACATGCCACATGAAGCACAATGATCAGTGAGTCCAGCCATGGTGACAACCGAGGTGCATCCGTCTGGACGCATGGTCGCAAGTGCTCTGGCTGTATCATTCAGTCTGCAACTGCTGGTTTTGCTGGAGATCTCTTTCAGGCGACTTGCAAGCTGATTCTGGTGGGAACTTTCCCGCTGGCGGAGTTGCAGTAAGGTGCTGGTCGTGACAAACGAGTACAGCTTTGGGCCTGGGTCTCGGTGTGCGAAACCGTTCCAGAGGATTCCTGCGAGCAGACCCCTGGATTGAGCAAGCTGTCACGTCATCCTTTGTACCCCATGTGTGCCCAAGCAAGAACCTAATCGATCTACTTCAGGATCTAACGCGTGGCACCTCGGCTGCCCACCTCACCATCAAGGATGTCGCAGAGGCGTGCCTTTTGCCCAAGCTTGCCTGAGTTCAGTGGAGTCCCAACGTCTACTGTACAGCAGCATTGCCAGCTGTGTAAGATGCACATAGATGCACCCATCTACAGCATGCGCACGCATGTGCTCGTCTGATCCAAACCACGGCCCATCTGGCAGGCCCTGGAATGGTCTCCATGCGGTGAGAGCATTGCTGTTCTGAGCGCCCGCGAGCTCATGGCCGTACAGGCCGCCAACCGCGAACCGCTCCTAAAACGCGATGTATCTCTAGCGGCCTCTTGCCTGCTGTACTGTGCTGTGCCAGTCCCATCCTGCACAGGTGAAAACCTCTGCAACAGCCTCTTTGAAGGACCCATCGTCAGTCAGCGGCTGAGATCGTTCTTTGCTTGTAGCTTTGTAGATCGGATCTGCAGCTCGCCGTACGTCCAACTTAGGAAGGCTTTGTTCGAATCAACTTCGCCACAGGCTCAGCGATAAAGTCTGAAAGTTGAGGCCCTGGCAATGGCATGACACGCAGTTGCGCGTGGGGCGTTTGTTTACTGCGCTACAGCTTTGTAGGACTGTGTGCTCCAATCATGGCCTGCTTGACTTCACAATGCTATGTCATAGCTTTGCGAGAAGAACCCTGCTCGTGTGCACCGAGACGTCCATGGTGTGGCTGTCTTCGAAAATGCCAGGAACCTAGCACATGTATGCATATGTTGCGCGGAGTTGCGGGCTAGTCTGCGGAATTGGCCGATCTTGCAAAAAAGTTGGCGCGGCAGAGAGATCCACTTCATACCTTGACTGCCGTACCCGGCAGTTTGTTGATTCCTGTAACACGTAAACAAAGAATTTCAACGCGGCCTCGAGGCTGGCGCTTGGCGACGCTAAGGGCGAAGTCCGGATCCTTTCCCACAGCAGCGATGAGCTGACGCAGGCAGCTCGGCTTTGGAAAGGGTGTTGCTGTAACGGGAACTTAGGGTGCGCCGGGGATTCCTCCTTATGTGTGCAGACCATTCCAGACCCTCCACAGTTGTTGCGGATGTCTCGCCAAATGTCGGTTTCCCTAGTCGAAATAATCTAGTACAGTATTCTCCCCAGCCTGCAGAGAGAGGACAGCAAAGAAGACGCCCGCAGAAAAAGTCCCGACACCGCTTGGACTACAGCACACAATCAGGACAAACTCCGGTCAAAACCTCATTGTTGCGTTGTCTCTCCTGGACTGAATCGCACGATTGAGTTGTGTGCAGGCTTGCACGCTGCCGAAGGAATCTGCGGCGCAATCCACCAGGGTTAAAGCTCTGGCTGCATGCGCCGGCCGCTTACTGGTAGGCGCCGGCGGGGCCTCTTGCATTAGCTGTCACAGAATGCAAAGAGGTAGTTATAGAGGCGTTCTGCTCCAGTTCCCCACAAGCAAAGCGTTGCTCTGACCATTGCTCTGACCCAGCCTTCAAGCTATGCATGCCAGGACTGAGCAGTGGTGAAGTGGAGGCCCGTACTCTTCTGCACCCAACATTCGACACAAAGTTGAAATCAACACAAAGGGCGCAGGGCGTGACAAGAGAGAGTGCATGCGTGATGTTTGCAACTGACGAGATTATACAGCAGCCTGGCTTTCACCACGCTCTGCAGGTGTGGCTGATGCCGGAGAAGTTTGGGCCGAAGGCCATCGAGTGCTCATAACTTGGCTTGGAGGTGTTCGCCGGGCGGCCACCAGGAAAGCCGCAGCACCACGAAGAACGTCACCCGAAAAGACCCCTGCACAGCCGCGGCTGATACCACTCTGGCAGGTGACCACGAACACACTCAGCATTGAAACGTAAAAGGGCGCAGGGTCCGCCACAGTAACGGCGAAGAAGTAGCCAGTGAGCACGAGCTGCCTCCAGCCGCTGGTCTCCGAAGACAGGTGCAGGGGCTCAACTCTCGTCGCGGCTCGTGCACAACAGAGGGAAAGAGCATGCAACCTCCAGCAAGGAATCATTCATTGTCGCCCGTGGGTGTTGCCACAGTCACAAGTACAACCCGTGTGACATCGACACTCTGGGAAAGTGCTTGCTGATACGAGTGGACGCTGACGGAATCATGTTTTCATGCTGCTGGTGGCACAAGTCCCTTTTTGCAGCCAGGCACTGCCAGTGCCAACCGACTTCAACAAGCTGCGCGTGGTCGAGACAAAGTGCACTACTGAGAACAAGCTCCTGTAATAGTGAGTATATGCATAAGTGAGTATCTTTCAAGAAGCAGCGCCCATCATGGCACCACCGTATTGCTTCCACCCTGCCTGCCACTGAGGAGCCGGCTGACGTGCCTCGTTGTTTGGGCTCCCGAGGCCCGCCTCGCACAGCAGGTCCGTCATCTGAAAAACAAGGCTGTCGACACTCACCCATGATTTGATGCTAGTGTTGCTTGAGCTGGTATGAGCTGGTGTGCAGCCAACGATAGCTGTGGCCAAGCCGTAGATAAGTTTGACCGAATTGACCGACACGGCTTGCCAGGACCAGGCGACGAGCAGTGGCGAAGGCCAAACGGGGTGCACAACATGCCCCGTGCCAGTGTCGCAGACCGTCCAGCCAGGTAAGATCCGAAGAAAAGAATGACTTACGGGTTGGTCTTCGAAACAAGTCGACGTCTTCTGCTTCTGAGACAGCGACATGGCTCAACCTGGGGATCATGGCTCCTCCCTGCAAAGCAGGACTGGCAAAGCATGCAGGCAGAGTGAGCGGATTGCTCCTCCTCGGTTTCGCAGAATTGCCAGGGTGCCAAGCAGGCTTTCCCCTGCGCGGAGCAGGCGTGTGGCGAAAGAATGCGAGCGTGAAGAGGAGATAGAGGAGCTAGGCTCGGTTCACGCGTAGCAAATTACAACTCTAGCTAGTGTGGATCAGGTGCCTGCTTTTTGCCAAATCGGTGCAGTGTGACACTGACAGCATGCCAGGCATCGTCCGAAAAGAGTGATCTGAGCTGATGCTATGATCTGGCTGTATATGCGAATCGCCACAGCTTTGTTTCCGAAGAGCTTACAGCATGCCAAAAAGGGATCTACACGGCCCCTGCTGATAATTGGCGTGAGCAGCCGAAAACAAGGCTGCAGCACAGCGAGTCCTTCCTCATGTTCGCAAGGCATCGTGAGGGCAAAATGCAAGCAGCCCGTTGCCCAGGCAAAGGAAGCTTACCACGAGCTCTTCCAACTGCAGGCGCTCAGTGCGAACGCACATGCCGGCACATCAGAAACCCCATGGCAAAGGGCTCGTCATCCCAATTTCCTTGCTACCCTTGAACCAGACTGCTGAATTCAAATCTGCAGGAGCGAGCCAAGAAGCTCAGAAAAGTGCGCCCTCGCCTTTGCATCTCCGGAGATCTCTCTACTTCTGCAACATTCTGCAACGGCCCACGCACAGCTTGTGTGTGGAAGATGGACCTAGGTGAGGAGCTGGAATTACGCACCAACCTGCGCAAAAAAGGAGTTGCGATTCAGGCGGGAGCAATGGGACATGCCTGTCGAGCTGTTGACTTAACTCTTTGCGACCACCCATACTCACTCCCATTTCTGATTGGATTGCTATGTAAGGGGAGTGTCCTGTTTGGACAGGTCGCTGAAGGAAGCAAGTCGAAGCCTGCGCAGTACAGGTGGCTGTATGACAGGAAAAGGTGAGCCAACACGGTTCATCCGGTACGCTTCATCTGCTATGGCTGCTATTGCCAACTGTGCTTTCTTGCCTGTGTTCTGACCCGGATGCACTGCGCGTGCCAACAACCAGCAGAGAGTTGTGGACAAAGCCTTCCCACAATATCCGCTGAGACTTACAGGTTTGTGGTGCGGGACGGAGCCATGAGTTTCTGAGCATATTGCCGCACAGCAGCGGGATGCAAGACATGCATAAGAACTAGGTGTTTCAGCAGGCAATATGGTGTGGCTCCAGTCTTGCAAGCCGCCGCATTCGCACTGCCAAAAAACGGTATGCCAGGCCGAAACTCTGGTGTAGATGATTCAATAATGAGCTGTCGTCTGGGTGATCCCGCATCGGCTCCGGATTGCAGACAAGCTCATGCAGCTGCTAAACGGATCGAGCTGCAGCCCGGATCCAAAAGAACTAGGCCCCAGACTGGCTCAGCGTTGCAAAGAAAGAGCGGGCATCGGCTTCGCTGCAGCACAATCTTCGTCATCCCTCACAAGCACTAAGATGAACAAAAGGCCAATTGCGACTCTACCAAACTACAGACATTGCTTGTGGAGACTGCAACACGTGTTTTTTCAGCAATGGCGAGTGGTCGAGTCGGCCGCCGAAAAGCGGACAAAGCCAACACTCGACTCAGGGCAGCTTGGAGACGAACTGAGAATTGAGTTTCTGCAGTTTCCGTTGAATTCTTCTGATAGCACCTTGCCATCGAATGGGAAGGCCGTGCTATTAGTCGCGCTGCTGCCATCTTTGTGGGGACTTCCATGCTTTGCAGGCTCGTTACTGCCTCACCATGAAGTAACCCCAGCACAATCCGGCGAAAGGGTCCGTTGTTGTCGTGATATGCGGCTGAACGTCCTATCATTCACTTCTGGACTGGAAGGGTCCACGCTGCAGAAGACTCGAGATGACCTCTCGCGGGCGACTTGTCTGCCAGTCTTGCTCCTGTGCTTTCGCATGTCTAGGACACCCCTGTAGTTTAATGCAGGGTGAGCCTCACGGGCACGGGCTTTCATGACTCATCTAGCGCCCATGAGGCATGTCACGTGCGTTGCAAGGGATGCGAACTGCAATCTAGCTGTATGCAGTACCGCATTCTTTCCCGGCACAGCTGAACAGAATGTTAAGACATTCAAACAGGTGGCCATGCCAGCACAGGTTGTTGATACCCTTTAGTTTCACCTCTGCATCGCCGTGCTGCTGCTCTCACAGAATTTCCCTCGAATCAGGCAGAGCGCGGTAATGCAGCAGAAGTTCAAAAGCAGTACGCTGACGGTGTTGTCCAGTCGTCGTTAAGCAGCCTGGCACTGCGCTTCAGACATGTTTTTTTTCTCGGGTAGGCGTCACCTTTGTGTCGCAGGTGAAATGGCAATCAAGACCTGACTGCTCAACTCAGCAACTCGTGTTGGCGCATAGCCACGGACCTCAGGTGAGACTTTCGAGGAGGTCTTGTCGCGAGCTACAACAGCCGAGCAAGTCTTCGATCAGCTGGATCAGAATAGGCTCGCAGGAGTCGGAGTGTCACTTGCTACGTGATCCCAATCCCCGTGGTGCAGCTGTAGATAGCTTCATGCAGCTTGGCCTAGGAGATTGAAGGCTTTGTTGACCCGCCTCCCGAAATCGAGAGATGTAGCTCGTGTCAGGGAACATCTGCGTGTAGCGGATGCTCTTGCCGTGCTCAAGAAGCTACTTCACAAGAAGCTTGGTTGCAAAAGAGGCTGCATACCCCAACGGCCAAGAACACGGCCCGACGGATGGTGGAAGCAGATCCATTCAGCTCGTGACATGCTTGACAGCCAGCAGGCATGTTTTTGTGGATGATCAGAGTCCTGTAAAGGAGGGGGACAGGACGTCCACATCAAATTCGGCAGCCCTGACATTTCTCTGAAAGGCTTTAGTTGCATAGTCATGTCAGAGCAGAGTGGCTGCGCATGAGGCCAGACCCAAGATCGAGGCCAAGGGTTCTCGATGCAGTTTGGAGAATATGCCGCAGCGTCGGAAATTGCATGTTCTCCCACGCCTCCCCTCTTTCCCGTACCTTTCTGCCCCTTTGTGTCCCCCTCTCTCTCCCTCCCTCCTCGCATCTATCCCTCCCCTCCCCATTAACCCCCCCGTCACCCGTGGCCCATCAAACAAAGGTTCCCTTCAAGCTGAATTGCTAGACACTCTCATGGAGTGGACCTGCACGGTCTGGGCATGGCCCTAGCTTTAGCCGCAAATCCCAAGCAACTGCGTGCAAATGCCAGAAACCGCCACTGCCGCGTGTCAGCCGGTTTCACACAGCCTTGCTACAACGTTGCTGACTGGAGCATGTTTCTGTTCTGCATCCCTACTTGGCTGATGTCATGTGCGGTTCACTTTGGCACGCCATGCTGACTAGTACAGCATCACGTTTCATCTATTAGAGGGGGGCCTGGGAGAAGTGTGGGGCGGTGAATGGTGCTGACAAGAGTTGAGTTGGCAGGGACGCATGGCAGCCGACAGAGCCAGCGCAGCTCACCCAGCTGGAGGACTTCAAGCACCTAGTCACGACGCAGGCGCTCAGCGATCCGAGATCATCGCGACGTCGGTAAGCGAACACCACCTATCAACCTTTGACAATCGCCACTATCGCGGGCCAAGCCTTGCTGTAGGTCAACTCACGGCAGTCATCGCCGTAGCATCACATGACCATTTCTGCAAAAGCAGTTGGCACTTCAAGCTGTGTTCAGATATTGCAGATCGAGATGGTGCGGAAGATGAACAAGTTCCTTGCAGCAGATGTCCTCATCGAGAGTGCCGAGCTGGGAAATCAGCTGCTAGACCTGGGCATGCAGGATGAAGGCGGGCGTCACACACAAGTTCATTCGATGTCACCTTTTGCAACGTTGGTGCCAGGCCGGCAACTTTTGGATAGCTCTCTGATCGCCATCGAGCAGGCGTTGCAACCCGGTGAGCTGTTTAGAGGAGGATATGGCTTCCTTGTCGCGGATCTGCCAAAAATCCTGGCATCGTTGCCGGGAGGCCAGGCTTTGTACTTTCAAAACACACACCCTGGGTTCTGCCGGTTCTGCCACGATAAGCCTTTGATAGCCACGGCAGGTCATGACCCGATCAGACGACGATGCCTCAGCGCCATATCGTCAAAAGCCAGAAGACTCGGTCCTCATAGTCTCCTGGAAGTGGCGCATTCTCTAGTGGAGAGCAAGGACGCTCATCCCAAAGCATCTCTGATAGGGAAGCATCTGGCCTGCCAGGACAAGCTGCAAACGGAGGACCGTGAACTCCTCCGGCGAGTTCTGCAGATCGCCGCCAGGAAGAAACACATCTTCAAAGGACCACAGCTGCAAGGGACCCGAGTAAAGTCTCCACATTTCAGCATACCGCAATGGCCGGAAGTCTTTCTTGTCAATGTAAGGGCGGACATGCTCTACAGCGGTGCTCTTCTTAACGAGTCGGGTCCTTAGCAACGAATAAAGGGATCCCGTTTCTTAGGACGGACCCTGGATATACTGAGGCGGGATGAAGTGCTGCTGCAAGTGGCCACTCGGAAAGCCGCTACCAACATCGGTCTCTTCGAACACACGGACTGCTCAGAAGCTGAATCGAGCTTGCTGCAAGCTCTTCCCAAGCCTGTGCTGCAAGGACCTTGCCAAGCTAGCCTTCGCTGTCACGAGGCGGCTCGTACGGACATCGGTCTCTCATTCGGATAGTGGTCTGGTGCAGTAGGTGTAGAGGAGGCCACGTTGCTGAATCAATACGGAGGCATACACTGCATCCTTCCTGTCTGTCCTGTCTGCCAGACTTTGCAGGGTTTTTTGTGATGGTGAGGTAGAACGCTCTCTAGTGAAAGCAAGTCCTGCGGATGGCCCAGAATGGTGTAGATGCCGCCTTACCACTGACGCCAGGTTGGATTTCAGGGACCAGAACTTTCTAGGCGCGGGCATGCCAATGAAGAGGGGACATTCAAGGCATCTGCCCTGAAAACACACACTGTCAGATCGTGTTCCTAGGAATGCTTGCGCAAGCGACGTCTTGGAAAGCAACTGTCATGCCTGGTCCCTATTTGCCTGAGTTTCCGAGACGGCACGCACAATGCACTGCACATGTCCGGGAGTCCTTGTGCCCGAGGCCTGCATCCACACTGAGTCAGATTCTGCTGTGTGTAGCTCTTAGTGAATGTTACGAAACTTTGCAGATGCCGTGCTAGCTGCTAGTTTCTGCAGAGTCATGCTTTCCATGCAGAGGCTTGGGCCACTTCCACTTCGCAGAAAATGACTTGGCCATCGATGATGCAGCAGCGAGCCCGGAGACTGCCAGTTTGGCACGTGCCCTATGCAACTTGTAACTTGTGGCTGTTGCACTGACAATCACACTTGCATCCGTACATCTGCAGGCCCTACGGCTCTACTGAACACTTACAGTTCCAGTTGCTATGCCACAGTTGTTAACCAAGTCCAATTAATCTGTGCAGCACAAACTCACAGTGTGAGCAATGGATTCGGATCGGAAGCGGCAGCTGCTGACGCTGAGAGAGAATCCCGATGTTCAGGAAATTGCAGCAGAAACTGTCGCCCGTGCGAGAGCTTCACTGCGACTTCGCATGTCCCTTGCGGCTGCCAGGAGCTCATCGCCAGCGAAATCGAGGAGGAACAAGCGAGAGTCCGGCTTTGCACGACTGCTTTTGCAATCTTTGTGCTTTGCAAGTCGCTCGTCACAGCAGGGCTTTTGCTGCACAGGACAGGAAGCGAAGGAAGCTTCAGCCCTTCAACTCAGGATCCATGATACTGCAGGACGCTTTTCAAAAAACTGTCAGGGTGCAACTAGTCACCAGAAGACTCTTGTTCAAGTATGATGAGATAAGACGTGGTTCCTGGATGTGAGTTGTTCGAGTTCACTGCCTGTCAGCAGCTGTGCTTTAATGTTTACTGCAAGCATTAAGAGTATCTGTGCAGGAGAACTTCACTCCGAACTGTCCAGTCCACGGGCTCATGCA